CCGACTGCGATCTTCTTTGGAAGGCCAGCGCTCGGTTTGCTTTTGGGTTTGGCTGCGGCGTCCACCAAAAGCCAAGCTGTGAGATGTGCAAAACTGAGGAGATCTTCCACCTGATGGAGAGAATGAACTGAGTTTGGTTATCCTGCGGAGTGGCTCCAGCGTGAAATTCGGCAATCTTCTGGGGGGACCTCAAACAGGCTTTGTCTCCAGGGCAAGAAACTTGTTTATAAAGTGAAGGATCTCCCCAGGTGTCCTCTGGGGACCTTTCTGTAGGGTGGAGCGTCTTGTTGCCGCAAAAGGCACTGCGGCAGGTAGGACGTTTGTAGGAAAGATGGAGTGAAGAGCCCTGTGGGATCTGCCCTGGTGTCTCGCTGTCCGAACGGTGAGCTCTCGTGGAGAGCCACTGCCTGTTGCCTTCCCTGGTGGGCAGCCGAAAAACTGTTTTACTGCAAGAACCCGGTGATGATCTGGCCCTTCACCTTCGTTTTCTTTTTTTTTTTTTCTTGCAGTTGGCATAAATAACAGAGTGAGAGCTGCCTTTGTGCTGCAGCAGGGATCCGGGTGTGCATTTCCAGGGCAGATAAAACGCACGAAAAACACTCACGTGCCCAAAGAGGACCTGTGTGCAAGTGCCGGCGGTGCCCGACTGCTCTCTGAAGAACTGCTCTGCACCGAGAGCTGTCCTGGCATGGTGGCTTTGTGTGTCAGGCGTGTGCTCTGCACCCTAATTATTTCAAATTTAGCCAAATCTGTGCTGTGTATGAGCAGGTGATGCCTCAGCACCGGGGGCATCTGAGCGGTGCGGGGGTCACCTGGGTTGGTACGCAGCTCCCTCTACCGTGCGGGAGGTGAGCGAAGCATGGAAATGTCCGGGGTGTGAGTGGGGGCATCTGGGGTACCTCTGGGAGATGCCCTGCTGGTGGCGGTGTCCCCCTCCTGCGCTGGCCTTGGCTGCCGGTGGTGAAGTCCAGTGCTCGGATGAGGAAATGTCAGCGATGCAGTTTCCCGGGCAACCTTAATTCAGCCCCATGTGCATTAGGATGCAGTGGGTAATTTTGTGATTGCCGCTGTTTGCCCTCGGAGAGCTCTGCCCCGTTCCCGGCACGGCTGGAGCCTCCGGCTCCTCCAGCCTCGGGGATCGGGATACGGTACCCGTTTTCTCGGTTGTGCATCCCGAGGCTGCGGTGCTCCCGAGACAAGTTAGGAGCTGCCTTCCCAGCTTCTCCATGGCTCTCCACTAATACCTGGCTGTTTTCGGCACCCAATGATGGGGAGACTTCGCTCCTACAAAGAGGCATCCTCGAGACAGCGGAGGAGGAAAGCCAGTGTGGCAAAGCCCCTCCAAACCCCAGGGAGCTCGGAGACTCAAGCCACCAATCTGAGCTGTTCACTCATTTGATCTGAGCTAAGCCCAGCAAAGCACTATGCACAGAGCCCGTCTCACTGCTGCTGAGTGCCTCTGCACCCCTCCCGCACGCAAAATACTCAGTTTTAGGGCTCTCAGTGGAGTTGTGTTCCTGTTCTCTGCTTTCTAGACCTGGAGGTGGAGGCATCTGAGTGGGGGCCACTCCATGAGCTTGCTGGAGCTCGTGCGTCCCTCCCTGGGATGCCAGACCCAAGCGCCGAGGAAACATGGAGGGGGACTTTCCTCCGGTTGGGACGCGTGACCGCTGCATGCAGAGGAGCCCCATGGCAGCCGAGCTGCTGTGCGGGTGGTGCCCTGTCTGGTCTGAAGCTGCTCTGTGTCTACGGGGTAGGAGAGAGGGGGGGTCCAGGACTGGCGCCAGCAGCAGTTTGTGCCTGCGGGGACACCTGCCTGCCTGCTCCTGCCTCGCCTGTGCCGGTGAGCTGTCACCAGCGTGGGGCTGAGCTCCGCGGATGTCATTGCGATGGGGCAAAAGCCCCTTTTTTGGCTTTCCGAGGCGGGGGTGCAGCCCACAGCATCTCCTGGGTGGCTCTTGGGAGCGGTGGGCACCCATCTGCCCTCAGTGCCCCGTAGGCAGCGAGGGGGAAGCCCCCACCTGCTGCCAGCTGAACCCCTCTTCGCCTTGGGAAGGGTGTTTGGGAACCAGAGGGGCTCCCTGCCACGAATTTGCCGTCGCCGTTGCTCAGCAGGCGTTAGGTCCCAGGGACCAAGCGTCTGCGAGAGTCACCGGTGACTTAGATTTCCTTGGGGGATGGGGATTGCACCCCAGTGGTGGCAAGCTGAGGGCTGCCGTTTCACCCCTCAGCATCCCCGGCGGGGGCTGAGCGATGCGGTGTCTCCCTCGGATGATGGATGGCGAGAGCAGATTTCCTGCCTCCCGCCGCAAAGCCGGCGGCTGGCTGTTTCTGTGGCCCCGTCCCGGCTCGCAGGCGCCCGGCCCCGTCGCGTGCGCCAGCG